TAACAGAGTTTTAGAGCTAGACAAATCTCTTTGCAATAATAAATATAAAATTTACAGCAGACCATGTTTGTGCAGGATTTGAACCCCTGTCATCTTGATGATGAACCGTAAGTTCTACCGCTCAGCTATGAATTTTCTCACTGAGAAATACCCAAACGTCTGTTTCTGACATGAGCGAGAAAACGTTTTGTCTTTAGCCTGTGAGAGTGTAGGCCTACTTTAGCCTTTTAAAGTTTTAAAAGATTATATCTTATCTGTATGACCAACAATTTGTTGTAGGCTTATTTGGAAATTACCATAACTTGTAGTATTTCATCCTTAGGCTACTGTTAATAGACATTAGCCCCACTTACGTTTTGCTAAATGTCCCTTTGCGCCACCTGGCGGTCATTTCGCGAACGACTTTGCAATGTGACTGGTTTATTTTTACCGCGGTGGATGGCTAAAAATGGTATGTGGATGGCTAAAAGGTGTGACTATAAATGTGCTTTTGGCTTTCATTTAAATTTTGATTGTTTGTATATATATATATGTGTGTGTGTGTGTGTGTGTGTGTATAAACATTTATTTATTTATATACACTACCGTTCAAAAGTTTGGGGTCGGTACGATTTTAAATACTTTTAAAAGAATTCTCTTCTGCTAACCATGGCTGCGCTTATTTGATTAAAAATACAACAAAAATCAGTTATAGTATTAAATATTATCTCCAGTGTAAATCAGCTGTTTTCTGTGTGAATATATAGTAAAGTGTCATTTATTCCTGTGATCAAAGCTGAATTTTCAGCATCACCAGTGTCAGTGTCTTCAGTGTCAAATGATCCTTCACAAATCAGTATAATATGAGGATTTGATGCTCAAGAAACATTTATTATTATTATCAATGTTGAAACAGTTGTTGGCCTGTCAGTTGTACAGTTTTTTTGTTTGTTTTAGGATTCTTTGATGAATAGGAAGTTCAAAAGACTTTTGTAACATTATAAATGTCTTTACTGTCACTTTCGATCAAATTAATTATTCCTTGATAAATAAAAGTATTGTTTTCTTTCCTCCAAAAAATAAAAATAAAATTCTCACTGACCCCAAACTTTTGAACGGTAGTGTATATATATTGTCCTTGCATTCTTTCTTGTGTGACACCCCTGAATGAAAGGCTCATTAGTATGCAGACTGCTCAGGTGAGAACTGCCTAATTATTCATGAGGGGGTTGGGCCGTTCCGCCCATCCGCATATTGCCTTTGCAAACAAAAAAATGTTTTTCACAATTTAAAACAATCTATTGTTTTATGTGAATGATAAGGCAGAATGATTTTCAGATCAATTTGAAGCAAAAACTCTAGGTGATAACATCCACTAGTCAAAAGTCTTGTGGACAAATATTTAGTATGTTATTTGTGGCCTTATATTATAAACTTTATTTTTTAGTTTTTTCAATAACCACGCATAAACAATATTCTCTCAAAAATACAAACATGTACATACATGTTGCTCACATATTATGGTAGCCCTGTGTGTGCTATATAGAGTGTAATTTCACCTGTGCCATTAATATGTTTATAAGCAACTGAAAAAAGCACAAATGTCAGAGCATGCCAAAACATCTCAAGGACCCCGAAAAAACCTCAGACCCCAGAGGGTTAAAACTTCATGCTGATTTGTACTCAGCTTTCGCCAAGATAAGCAAAACTAAGACGTAGCTTTACAGTACACTGTTTCTCCATCCATTTATTCTTCTTTTCATATGGTGGTGTGACTCCCCTTCTGTCCGGCGTTAACGGCTGCAGTGTACTTGGCGCGTCAGCACACGCGACGGCTGCAACTACAGGACCAGCACGACAACCGTCTGGATTGAGCCGAGTAGGGGACATCTCTAGGGTCTTCAAGTGGGCACCTTCCGTCCTCAGTGTTTCGTCGACTAGCCCACGACACCTCAAGAGGGCTCGACAGTGACTCTGGCGTCCCAGAGTCACCCCCCTCCGTCCCCCACTCAACTCAGCCCAGCTTACTGACCTCTACATCCCTCCTGCTGCTGAGACCTAACCACAATCTCACAATCTCTCCGCAACCCAACCATACGCGCCAACCCGTTTGACTTAGGCTGTCGAGCCCCACTGGAGCGTTAATATGCAGTTTCAGTGGCAACGGTTCCGTATGGCATACCACCTACCGCAAAACACAATATCTGCCCAACCACCCGTCATTCACGCAATATCCACAGGAACTTATACAAATAAACCAACAGACTCTTCAAGTTTTCAAGAATTCTACGAAACCGTAGCGTGGCGGCCTGTACACAGCCAGCTAGAATCTTTCCGTCTCAACCACAGCCAGTTGCTGCTCCTTTCTGCTGCTTCAGATAAGTTCTTTACTGTGCGACGCAACTCTTGGCCGCTGAATCCGACGTCTCTGAGAAACCGGGTTGTAGAGTGTGCCACAAAACCTCGACAACCCACTTCCACTGCATAAACCTGGACTCTCCATCCTCGCTGTTCTGCTTCAGTGGCCAGATGAGCATACCGCAGTTTCTTCTTCTCATATGCCTCATCTACCGCATCCTCCCATGGCACTGTTAACTCTATCAGTTGAACAATGCGTGCTGATCCAGACCACAAAACAATATCTGGTCGTAGGTTAGTGGTGGCAATCTCAGGTGGAAAAATAAGCCGTTGATCAAGATCAGCCAGCATCTTCCAGTCCCTAGCAGCTTCCAGTTGTCCTGGGCGAGAATTGGTGTTAACACCTTTTCTTGGTGGTTGCTCGCCTGGGTGGAGGAATATTGTCTTCTGCGTGTAATGCGTGTTAATTAATTTACTTTACATAATCTAGCTCATATCATCTTTGATGAAAAAAATAGATTTCTTAAATACATAAATACATTAACTTGATACGTGTTTTGTGTCAACCTTGTTTTTTTTTTTCACCCGGAGTATATTTATTTTGTTAGTCCCTTACTCCTAGACATATCAGGGACGTAACACTCTTCTGCAAAAACAAAGGATTTATAAACGTTCTCGGTCTCACTCCCCATGGCATAAATGAGACCGTTTACTTGCACTTTTCCGTCCTTTATCAAGCTTAGTAGCTGTCCAGAATCACTGCAATCTCTGTCTCCAATCCATCGGCTTATCAAAGGAAAAACTCGAAGGTGGATTAAACTGTGCCATTGTCCTTCACCTATAACCCCATGTAAAATGACTGAGTAGGCTGTTTCTTCGTAGAAACCTCGCGTTTAGACAACCCGTTAAACTACAGTCGCCATGCTGACACCCCTTGCATTTTCTTGAAGTTAAAGTATCAGTAACAGTGTTGAAACGATAAACAATATCATATCATATGACATAAACATACCCTAAATTTTTGATAATTTTCACAAAACTTTCATGGCCCCTAGAATATTTTGTTGTATGCATTTTTGTGAACATGCAATATATTAAAAGAAAGAACAGAGCCGCTGGTTTTAAAAAACAATGCAAAAAATATTCTAGCTTCCTGGATTTTTTTTTTTCAAAACGGGTAAATTTCAGAAGAAAAAAAAATCATTCTGAACAGAATTGTTTTTTTGTCAAAGACCGGATGGGATTCAGAATGATGATCAAAAGTTTCAGTTACCTCTTCATGGGTCAACCTTTCATTTAGTAACATTAGGTAGTTTTGATTTATATCCTTCTTATTGTTTGACGTTAGATTGCATGCGAGTAAGCAATGCTTCTATCGCTTGTTTCTGCTGCCTCTTGAGCCAAAGCTGCTGTACTCCACCATATAACAGTGAAAACATGAATTGACAGAAACTCTCGTCAATGGCGGGGAAAGAGTCAAATAAATGTAAGATAAAAAGAAAAACTCCAGGAAAGCAGACAAAGTTTATTTTTGTTTTAATTTTTTTCCTTTTTTATTTTTTTTTATTTTTTTTACAAATAACTTATCTATTACAAAGACAGTTTTCCCAGCTAAGATCAAAAACATTGGATATCCAAATAATTTTTCTCCCCCTTTTCTTTTAAAATCCATAAACATGACAGACAGGTCTGATTATTTCTTTGGGTTTTTCAAAAGTTAGTTAAACTAGCACAGAAAGTAATGTTTTTGGAGCCAAAAATAGTCTCATCTCAGAAACAAAGCGTAGAATGAATAAATGTTCTCCACAGCAAAGTAATTTTTAGCCTGGATACCAGAAACCAGCATTTGGAAATTGTGTATTCATTTGTTTCATAAATAACGACCTCATTCAACTTTTCAATGCACGACTTATGCATTAAGCACTCTTGTAAGAATGAATGGCAAAACATTCATTTTCTGAAATAAACTTTAGATCAATCGACTAATAAAGTTACAAAACATTTCCAAGGACCTGTTTCAGTTCTGTAACATCTGCAAGCGAAGGCACTGTGCACATGATCCATAACAGAGAACCATGTAAAGACCGAAGGCACATTGTGACATATTGAGCTACACTCAGGGACACGATGATCTGTGCTTCCTGTGCTTTGGCACTTTATAAAACCTGAGCCACAAAGGCTTAGCGGTGGGTACTCCTTGTATTAAAAAGCCCTTGTGAATACTCATCCACTGTTAGGAGGGCACCCATACACCATGGGACAAAGTCTTTTCTCTCAAACCCACATTACTGAACATAATCTGAAAAGCGTTATCAATGCATAGCAACGAAACATTCCTTTCTTGGCACAAAGGTATAAATTCTCCTAATAGTAAACCTACATTCCAGTTGTCACATAGGAAAGCACGTGTTATCTGAGGGCTTTATGGATTTCTTGTGAAGTCCTTTGACCGCTCTGAGGTCAAGTACCTTATTAATAAAATCTAGATCTTTTTCAGTTTTGCTGCATCTGCAGCTCGTACACTGGATAGAGTCCTTGACAAAGAGCATTGTTTTGTCGTTTGCTGTTGCACATTTTAGCATCCCTTTAAGTTCTCACAAAAGCTCAGGATGGGAAACCATTCTCATCTGAGAAACAAAAAAACAACACCACATAGAAATAAATGAAGTCTATAAAGCTATACTTACAGGAAATACATGTGAAATCTTGAGAAAGAAAATAGGCATCAAAAAGCTCATTCTAAAACTATGTACAGTAAAATCTGTGTGGCGGGGACTCCTCTGTAAACTGTACATCTAAAGCATGCAATTTTTTTTTAATTTTTTTTACATTTTATTTACCAAACAAAAGAATTGCGAGTTTAGCAGATTCCACTCATGATCCTTTGGGAACAGCATTCATAAAGCAGTCAAAAACTGTTCCCATGAAAAAAAGGCACACTGGCATCCGTAGCCACACATGTAAACCGTGTGGATGTAATAAACGTGTTAATATCACTGGCAGCACTGAGCCTCTTCATGGATCAAGCGGGTGAAATTTCCCTTGATCTCCCACGCGACACACAAAACTCCCTCTCGACACAGAAGCACACATTTTGTACAGAGACAAAAGAGCTGTAAACATCATCCAGTCTTCAGTGGACATCACAAGACAAACAGACACACAATGACACTGTGGGGGAAAGAGGAAGCTTTATAGAAATCCTCCAACAGGTGTGTCCATGATTTCCTGGAGGAGGCGAAACGGTGGCTGTCGACACGCTTGTGTGTGTGTTGCATGTATTGTGTGTGGCTCAGAAATGCCGAGGAAATTCACACTCTTCACAGCGGTTGAGGGCAGGGTGGTTGAGGAAGGTGCAGGCAGTACAGCTCCACTGAACTCCATCATCCTCCTCAGGCTCTGACATGACCCTCACATTCCTACTGCCCTCTGAAAGAGAACGCACCAAAGTCGTTATCAAAGCCTGTGCAGATGCGAGTTAGAAGGAAAGAGAGGGAAGTGGCAGAAAGAGAGAGACAGAGACCCACCCATGGATACAGCCATAGAAGGTGGTGCAGGAGGTAGAGACGGATCTCGCTTTAACTTGGAGCTGACGTTTATTTTGCGCCCTCTCCTGTCTAGAGAACCTGTGAGATCTACACCTACTCGGCACCACAGCACAATGGGCCGATTGGCAGCAGAGAAATAAAGACAGAGAAAAAAAACTGAGGATGAGAATGAAATGCAGAGGCAGTAAAAAAACCAAAAAAACTTTAAATAAAACCTTTCATTGACAGAAAAATAAGATATACAACAGCAAAAAAGATAAGCAGAAGCAAAAGTGTAGAAGAGACGAGATTAAACGTTTCTGAACTACTGACCTGGTTTTGTAGGACTTTTAAGCGGTTTAGGAGCTACAGGACCCAAGAATCCAAGGTTGTCATAAAAATTGTGAATTGCAATGGGATTAAAGTCTGGTCCTAAAAATCAGAAGAACAAGCCATCAAAAACACATTAGCATAAAACGGGAGCAATAAGAGAAGCTGAACTAAGCAGCGAAATGATACAGTCATCCCTCTGGATTTCTTTCTCATAATGCACACATGCAACAGGCAAAAAGATCATGAAATACAAAATTAAGCTCCTGAATGTGTTCCTTAATGTCATTCACAATGACATGAAGCTTTTCAAGTTATATCAAACTAGTAAAAAGAAACAACAGACACTGAAGTTAAAGTCATTTTTCGGTTAGGTCCAATTCAAACCATTACTGTGATGTGTACTTTTGTGAGATTTACATTTGTCTATTTTTGGAACAGTTGTTCATATGAAACGTAATTAAATATACATAAATATCTGAATAAATCAATGATGATTAAATAATATATATATTTTTAAAACTACATGTATAGTTATATATGGAACTCATTGATAGGCTACTAAAAACAGTAATTCATATAACTTAAACCATGATAGTCTATGTCAGTAGTGTTTATAAAAGCTTTGATCAGGTAAAAAATAAAGCATGTAAAAAATTCTATCAATTTTTTTACAAGCATAAAACATTCTAAACTGCCTGAATAAAAAACATTGCTACTTTAGTGTACCGGTAACTTAATAATCCCAGTTGCATTTTTTATTTATAACAACAGCCGTAATGCTAACAATAAGCTAAATGAATTGACAAAATCTGATGTTTTCAAATGGAAAACATAAATAAAAGACAAGGGAACCTATCAACTTCACATAAATATAAGCATTCGTTTCAAACTACAGTTTTAAAAGGTGTATGTTTTGTTTAAAAGGCTAATGAGTGAAGAGAATGGAATACGCTGAAATATACACTGGAATTTGCATACATTGTCAGAAAATTAAACAACGAATTCATCACAATTACCGAGTCCATCTCATCTGGCATGTTATCAGAAGTATTATTAATGTTTTTGTCAGTCTAGATTATTAAATACCTGCTGACAGAGTGCTGTTTTATTTACTGTATGTGTTTACACAGAACTTCTCTCACAGAGATAATTGATTTCTACATAGATGTTTAATAGCAAATTAAGGAGTTTTAAATTAGCGGATCGTGTTAAAAGCTGCATACGGTGGCCATGCTGGAGCATCTGAGCATCAACCCGGGGAGTGAACGAGACTATGGATACGACTACGAGACTAATGATAAGCATAAACAACAGAAAAAGAGAATTAAATTCAGCGGTTTTATTTCCAACATGCACTCAATGGCTGTTTTATTTAATTCATATAAAGTTACATCTTTATTGGGACATGACTTGATGGATTACCTGACTCAGTGTGTCCATGATTAAAACTACATATCAAGCAGTTATGTGACATCTAATTTGGGCATTAGTGGCTGTTATGTAAAAGTTTATTAATTAACGGAGGCAAGTTATTTTGACTTTGAACATTGACGACTCGTCTCCCCTCAGACGCAGTGCTTTAAAGGGGTCATCGGACGTAAATTTCACTTTTACAGTGCTTAGCATAAGTGAACACACCCATGCTAAAGTTGAGTAAAAAGAGGAATATAAAAAACCTCTTTTGGAAATGGATCTTAATGCCTTAATTAAAAAAATGAGGAGAAATCCAACCTTTAAGGACACCAATTTTCTTTGTGGATGAATAATGTAAAGTTAAGATAAAGTTCCCTTCGCCTTTGGAATTAAAATAGCCCCACATCATCACACACCCTTCACCATACCTAGAGATTGGCATGGGGTACTTTCCATGAAATAACTGGCCTTAAAAATACAAATCTGCCTGCCTATATGGGAATTTAACATAGGGGTGTCCTGACTTAGGAATTTTAACCAAAGTATGTTACAAACTTTACATGAAGACCCTAAAGAATCATACCAACTTGTGGAAAATGGGCATCCGATGACCCCTTTAATGGTGGTGTTGTGTGTAATTCTCAAAACATCCACAAGATGGAGCCATTTATTGATGATTTTGATATTACAAAACCGATATACGTTTATGGAAAAATGCTTAAAATGCTCGCAAATAATTGGTAAAATCGATTATCAGGCGATCTCTAGTACTAAAACATCCCTTCATCACAGCCTACAGAAGTGACAAAATAAAGCAAAGATGAGGAACGAACGACATACACAAGAGTAAATACAAACAAGAGTTTGTTGTTAGTTGCCAACAGCACAGCAGCTCCAGACAAATGACCCTCAAACCCAGTGTTCCTCACATGTGGAGCGAATCAAATCAGCCTCCGTGTCTGTGTTCAGGCCTTCCAGCTTAGCTCTCTCCAGCGCTGGAAAGCTTTGCTAATATTAACACTGGTCCTAAAGCTCTTTCCTGATCATAACCCTTAATTTTACTGAGCTTTTCAGAATATGAGCATAAGAATATGAGCTTCTCTCGGCCATCTCTCTTTCTACAGTCTTTCTTCAAATCTCCGTCTTGCTCATTCGCTCTCCTCCACCATCATACGCCCCCTAATGCTGATTGGCTACACGTTTGTTGTTGTTTCAAACAGCATTTTTCAAATTTCGCTTACCACTAGGGTCAGGTATCGTTTTTTTAACGATTCCGATTTGTATTTTTAAAAATGTCAAAAAATGATTTTGTCTGGAGCCCTGTAGTGCCACACGAGGACATATCCTGAAAAGCTGCGTAAAACTAGCATGGTCCTCACCTCGTGTCTGAAGGAGGTCAATCTCTTTGGTTAAACAATCAATATCGATCTGTAGAAGCCTATTCTTACACCTCAGCTGTTGCATCTCCTCAATCTGAAAATAAAGACATAAGTGGAAGTGTTCAAAAGTGCATTGTGTTGATAAAATACAAAATGATATACAAAATGAATGGTCTGACTACCACTCGTTTGTTACTTTGCATTAAGTCCGCCATATTGGATCGACATGATTTAACAACTATTTTTGAGGCCAAACTAATGAGACAGACCCACTTGTACTCCGTAAAAGCATCTCTATGACTCAAGTGTGCTAAAGACTTCAAGCTCTGACTGACGCAACATACATAGAATATATACACTTTTCAGCGTATTTGAAAACAATCATTATCCAATTTAGTAAAGAATCATAATTATAATCAATGTTGTCAGAGCAAATGTTAGCACACCTAATGGAGAGTTAAGTGTGTGAGCAAAGGCTGTTGCGATAACCGCAGTATTGTAATACAGCGATACTGACAAGGATTGCAAGCAACCGCCACAACACCGATGTTCACTTCGGTTCATAACGGCTACGCCCTTCTTATTTAACACTTCATGCATGTGAATTGAATGTCAAATAAGTTGATAATGATAAAGAGTGAAGAATGTTTTTTCCGCCAACTTGCCCTTTTGGTAACACTTTACTTGAAGGGGTGTGCATAAGACTGACATGACACCTTCATAACCATGACATGACATGTCATGAATATGAAGGAGGGTTTATGCATGTTTATGACAACTGTCATTAAGTGTCATTCGCTCAATAATGACATTTTGAATGCAAATATGACATTAAGATGTCTTTGTTATGACACCTTGACATAAACCATAACATCATAACCTGTCAGTGTCTTTGTCATGACAACTTGACATTAAATTACATTAAACTGTCATGTGGCTGGTTTTGACATTGGCTGTCATGAGGCCATTATAACTGTGTCATGAATATTTTTCATGACCTCGACTACAGTGGTACACATTGAATTTGTCATTAAACAGTTATAATGGCTTCATGACAGCCAATGTCAAAACCAACCTCATGACAGTTTAATGTAATGTTAACCCATAAAGCTAAGTGCTTTCTTAAGTTTGATAATTAATCTGCTAGGTCATGTTTATGACAGGTTGTGTTGTCTTAGAAATGTCAAGGTGTCATAACAAACACATCTCAAACAATGTCATATTTGCATTAAAAATGTCATAACTGAGCGAATGATACTTAATGACAGTTGTCATAAACATGCATAAAACTTCCTTCATATTCATAACATGTGTCATGTCATGATTATGAAGGTGTCATGTCAGTCTTATGCACACCCCTTCAAGTAAAGTGTTACCGTCTAAACAGACAGTGAGTGAGAGAGAGATCGACTGAAGGCGTGTGATTAACTGCGTCAGTCCTTCTTCGGGTCAAGTCATATATTTGTGAAAAAAATACGCTTGCCATTTCCGTAGAGGAAAGCGAAACCTTTGTCATAGCATCCTGTCAAGATTTAAGGGTATCGTGGCAGTCGTAATTGTGATTAAAAATTCGATTGATTGTGCAGCCCTAGTTTCAGTTGTTCTTGGTCAGTTCTTGTTTATGCATTGTGTGGTTTGTGTTATTCTCCTGTGCGTTTATTCAGTGTTTGGATTATTAATAAAGCCTGTTTTGGAATCTCCTTCGTCTTCATGGCTGCTGACCACATCGTAACATTTTTTTTTTATTAATAAAGAACTAAAAATGGCAATAATATAGCATATCCACTCAAAATCACTGCAAGAGAAAATCCTTCACCGTGACAGCCCTAGTTAGAGAGTAAGAGAAATGAAGAGGTACATTAACGTACAGATGGTATCTGACAGACTGAGTTGGAGCGCTGCAGTCGTCTCCTTGTGAGGTCATTTTCCATCTCGTTGACTTCCTCTTTCAGCTTCTCCAGCTTTCTCTTCTTCAGCTCTAATTCATGCCACAATCTCTCCATGCGTGCCCTCTGATGCACTAGCAAAGCTGTAAATACACACAAGTAATTATCAGATACATACAAAATTTCATGTACAAAACTAAAGAGTCTATGAAGTGATAAAACAGCATTCAAACCCCATTTAGCATTCAGCTTCCTTCCATAATGTGAAATATTTTAATTTGAGTAAACAAAATATTTGACAAATTAGGCAGGACTTGAGTTCATCAATCAGTAACTGACTGGATTGTAAAATAAGCTGGTGAATGAGAGTTTGTGGTGGATTGTGGATTTTCTCCTTCACCCACTTTTGAGAAAGCTTTTTGACCAGGAGATGGAAACTGAAGAAATTCTTTTTACTATTTACTAAAATCAATATTGATTTTAAAAAGGTAGAAAGAATGGTATTGAATATTCCTTTTAAACATGTAACCACTTTAAACATTTAATGTATGAAACACAATTATAAAAATACCATATAAAAGCAAATGTATTTTGGTGCCAATTAATTATGCAGAAAATATGAATCATGATTGTATTTCAAAATACAACAGAACTATTGACATTAATACGTAATCCTGTACTGGACAATAAAGAATATACATTTCTTCAGAAACACATGCACCTCATTATATAATCTTGTCAATAAATCAATTGGGTTTATAGGCTGGACAAGTGTCGTCCATGGCAGCACTGGCTTTTTAATAGCACAGGACTATTTCTACTTGGGGTTATTTTTATTGGCAAAAGATGCTGCAATATTTACTGGCACATGAATGTCAAAGTTTGGGAAAACTACTTAGATGGTCGAGTCAGACAGGATTAAAATGACCCGAGCTTCTAGGTAAATATTACATTACCCAACCTTCCAATAACAGTAATCCCATATTCACAAACAAATGTGTCAAAATATGAATATAACACACACACACGCCAACCATTAACAGCTTCCACATGGTTTAATGATCTAGCGATGCCAGAACATTAGATTGGATGCTAAATATCATCTTAAGTGTTTTCAACAAGCTTTTGGAATAAATTACCTCTGAATGCTGTTTTACACAAAATCTGTTCAGTAGTGTGATAGATAAGCTGCATGACTCAAATTCATAATGCATCCTGCTTTAAGACAAAACACACTCAACAGAACATGAAGTGCAGGCTAACTTTTAATGAATTGGGCAAATATCCATATAAGGCAAACACAACACTGCCACTGTTCATTACATTTTACACACAGCCCTAAAGAGCTGGGCTTTCATCCCTATTCTAATAACCAATGAAAGTTAACGAGTGACGAGCTTTGATTGAAGATTGTTATGAGCTTGTCTGTGTTCTCATTTTGGCAAAAATCTCCACGTATTCCAAACGAAAAAAGTTTTACAAAAAAAAAAAACATACAAAAAAGCATGCCTTGCAGTAGGGTAAGCAGTATATTTATATAGGACACAAGTGCTTGTGAACGGCTCTGACATTATTCTCAATATTAACTGAGCAAGAGGTAAAAGAAGAAGATGAATTATTTGGTGTAGCACACTTTAGTACAGAACTACCACTATGAGCAGATCAGATGAGTCTATATCAGGTACTTATTAGCTTAAGTGTCCATACTTAAAGAAATAAAAGGGAAAAATAAAAAATAAACAGCAAATAAAAAAAAATATCTGAAACCTACATTGGCAGTGAGGACAACTCTTGTAGAAATCTTGAAAATACGGCTTAAGATGTAACAATGCTCTGAAATAATATATACAATCCATATTCAAGGCATTATAAAACACCATTCGGTAACACTTTATCCCGATATTTATGCCACTATGTCAACTAGCATTCATTAGAGTAGACTTTCTGCTTAATATCTGCTAACACTTTATTTTGATGATCCCCAACAGACTTTGCAACTATATGTCAACTTATCCTACCCACCCTAACCTAACCGTCTACTAATACTCTAATGAAAGTTAGTTGACATGTAGTAGCACATTTACTTTTAGTTAGTAGAAAGTCTAAAGTGGACTCAAAATAAAGCATGAGCCACCATTCGCAAAGCGTTTAAAAGAACGATTATGTGCGTCACACAGTTCATTACCAGAACCAATACAAGAGATGAACGTACCTTGTGTGTATGCAGCGTCGTCTGCACCCATGCTGAGTCTGCGAGGCTCTGAGCTTTTGTCCCGGTGAGGTGAAAGTGGGTCAGACTGGTACAAGGGATCCGGCTCTGCGTAATGGTGATCGCCAGGAAGACTGAGCAGGTTAGTTGGCTCAAACGTTGGCGATACCACTCCAGGAGACACAGCTGGTGGTTTATTGGGGGAGACAGTGATTTTAAAGGTGTATTTGGTGTTGGGCTGTGTTACCACCACACGAGGAGACGTGGCAGTGCCTCCAGCTGCCACAGAGGGACGAGATTTGGGTGGGTGGTGGTGTATATATGCAGGTCCCATGCTCACCTGGCTTCCTAAAGCCCGCAGACCAGCAGAACCCTGAAGCGTTGGATTGGCCGAGATATAGACTGTGGGCGGGTTCCTTCCCCCTCCATCGTCGGCGGATGCGTTTGTAGAAATATAGAACTTGGGCTGCGAGCGGGGGGTGTTGGGAACAATGGCGCATTCGTCTGATGGGGTAGTAGCAGCAGTGGGTGGGGACGCAGAGATATACACCGTGGGCTGGCTGCGACTGAGCCCAGCTCCTCCAATTGAGATGGGGGCAGAGGGACCCGTGCTGGCAGCCAGAGAAGACGACGAGGGACAGGACGAAGATGTGGAGCTACAGGTGGCTCGCGGGGAAGAGCCCGAGCGCAGGAGCGTAGAGGTGGCCGTGCTCGAACCGCTAGCCCCCCTCTGTGGAGACTCCAACTTTATCTCAATCTGATTCTTCCGAGGCCCAGTTGAGATGTTCTGGATGTTATACTGGCTAAAGGAGGCAGCAGATGAGCATGAGGAAGGCGAGGGTGACGAAGAGGAGGCCTGTGACGCCACGGCCGAGGGGATGGAGGGGGCTTGGGTGTTGGTGGGTGAACTGATAGGCATGTATACGTGTGAGGTTTGATGCTGGCTGCCGCTCCACGAACTCTGGGAAGCTGCAGGATGAGTGATTTGATAGATCTGCTGGGTAGGCTGGGAGGTGGGACTGTACTGCGCTCGTCCTTGTACCTGTCGCGTCGAGCCTGGCTGGGTCATGTATGGGCGAATGTAGATGGAGTTTGGACTGTTCAGACCCGACTGAGGCCCTCCATGTATGTGCAGGGAGGTAGGTGTATTTCGGCCGGTGTTGGGTGCGAGCGTCACGGTGATCGGGTTGAAGCGCGGGGTTGGCGGTGGTCCGTGACCTTTGCCCCCAACCTGGTATAGGCCAAGGTGCTGAGGAGGCTGCGGCTTACGAGTGGACTCCATGGCAGTGAATGCACTGAGGCTTGTGGGCGTGTGTGAAGGCACAGATGGCGTTTCAGGCTGGTAGAAATCAGAGAGGGGAGACAGCACGTTTAAAGGCCCATCGCTCACACTGGGGGTGAGAGTCCTACTTCCATTCATCCTTACTACATCTCGCTGCACTGCACCATGGGTATTCTGAGAGACGCCGAGGTTGAGTTGGGTCATGTGATTGCGAAGATCTGTCAAACTCTGGCTGCCTTCACTATACAAAAACCCAGGACTCACCTTGGCCAGGTATTCGCAACATGCAGCCAAATCGTTTTTATTCTGAGGAAAGAAGAGTGAGAAATGTGTCAGCTTCAGTGCCCAGTTGCATAAAGCACCTTAAGTTTTTCCCTTAAGTATGATACTTAAGGGGAGATTTACCCTTACCTAAGAGAACAACTTAAGGGTGTTGCATATAATCTCTTAAACGGTTCTCTTAGGTAAGGGAAACATTTAAGTGTTTCACGACAGCGATCCTGGATTCACGTTATAAAAGTCTGTTGTTGCCATAGATACGCAAAACACTAACATGTCGGAATATCACGTGTCAGTCCAGTGACGCTATCACGCAACACCGCGTTAGCTCCGAACGTGGCGGCAGTTTGTGTTGTTCACCGTCTCCATGCTTTGGCATTTGTTTAGGTTTTGTGAATGCACTTCTGGCTCTGTGTCTCGAAATACAGCTGAGTATATTTCCATAGCATACCTGTTTTCTTCTGTCATGATTCCTTTTAAAACACAGAATCAGCTCGTTCTCCTGTGAATTTTTTGTCGGCCACACACTCTCCGTGCGTGCACTGACTTAACGTTGTGATAGTTTACATGCGAGTCGCGTGTAATGACAGACAGACAGTCGTCTAGTTTGATAGCGATGTCAAATATTGCGCGTCGATCAAATCGGTATTCTTGCAACAATTTTTCATGGCTAAATTGGTCTAAAGGGTTCTCCCTATTCCCTATGATCTTCAGCTGGTTTCATAAATTCAGCCATGTCGTCTTATTTTTGTCCGCGTTACTCTTAAGGTTACGATTTCCAAACCTTAAGTTATACTTAGGGAAATTACCGTTAAGGGGTTTTATGCAACACTTAACGATTACTTAAGTGAAAAAACAGCATTTAAGGGAAATTCTAAGTGTTTATGACGTTTCACTTAAAAAAACCGTTAAGTAACACTTAAGGGTATTTTTTTTGCAACACCCTTAGGTTTAAGGGAAACATAAGGGCGACTTTAAGGGAAAATTACACTTAAGGTGCTTTATGCAACCAGGCACAGATATGTCTGGGGTAGAAGCTAAATTTAAAGATATACCCCTGGGGTAAGATGTCCCCCCCCTTGGATTTGGTAGCGACAGACCCCAGTGGCATTTCGTTGCTGTTCATTTTATCATTTCATTTAATAATTATTATAATTCATGAGGATAATAATTCCAAGAATTACATTTCAAACATCATTACTCATTGTTCATCATACTCCACAGGTCAACTGAACAACATCAGTCAGTGAGTGCATTCCAGATGACATAAACGATGCCTCTGTAGAGCTTTTGGAAGAGAAAACACTTATGTACATTGCACACTGTAAGCGTAGAAATATTGAGCACAACCCCAGGTTTCCCACAGTGCAAATGAAGTCTGTGATTGTCCTAGTAATTTGTTTAGACCTTTCCGATATTTAGGACGTTTAGACACTTAAAGGAGTATTTTTTGTGGAATTGGCAGCAAGCAGAGAATATCTGTCTGTCATAGGTGCCATCATGCAGCTGAGGTGAAAAATTAAACTCAGAATCAGGTGTATAATTTTAAAGAATTGATTGAGAATCATTGAGGGAAAACCAGTGATTCATCAAAGAAATTTTTTTTTTTTCCCATTGCCAATCAGATATATCTTATATATTCTGCAAAAATCTGATAAAAGCTGGAAAGTTTACCCTGGGAGACAACTTTCCCCAGTAGTGATTTTCTATTTTGTTCTATAATAAATTAATTAGCAAATGTTTAAATTGATTTCCTTTAAAATATATATTGGATGTTGTATCAGCGCAGTTATTCATCTCTAAATATAGTGCAAATATAATAAGTGCTGACTGGTCCTAATGGGTTATCTTCCATAAGTGTGTCGTCTTTAACGTGAGCATGATGTGGCTTTTGTAACTTTTTTTACTTTCATAATCTGGCCTATTTCTGAATAAAATAGTAATTTCAATGAAAGAACATATTGCTCTCTCTCTTCTTTACAACATTTCAGTTATGCTTTACAAGCTAGTAAACTAATCTATCTCATACTTGAAACTTAGCATTGTGTACTATTGGTGGCTAAGATCAATATTGTTGACTATGATAATGAAAAATTGCTTGTAATATTACTAATTTATAAGTTGCTTTAGATCAGGGATTGCAAAAATGTATTGTCAGATGAACTCCTTTGACAAAAAAATAAAAGTTAACTTTAAGTACCCTCTGGGATTCAAGAAGTCAACATTTCAATTTAACAACACATTCACAGTTCACGTTGGTCACTTGACATGCAGGCAAACAAATTTAATGTTTAATATAATAAACAAAATGGCTTCTTTGTAAGTGTTATATCGGTTTTATTTTAATAAAGATTTGATGACTCAATCAGCTTTTTATCCACTCATGAACACCAGTTTGGGAATCGCTGCTTTAGATAAATGAACACCTTATTTTAAGGGTAAAGAATTACGCATTAGTATTTACGCATAAATACACTAGAAATTAATGATTAACTTTTCCACAATGTATTAGTTAAGCACGAACATACTTGTAATTAATGATTAACAACATATAGTTATGACATATTAGCCATAATTTACAATTTATTATAGGATACACATTCATGCGGTAAATAAGCAAAAATAAGCTAGTAATTAATGATTATCTGAATGTACAGTAAATGCCTTTTAGCCATTATTTACAAATTAAACTATATATTATTTTTGTGTAGTAATGTACTTAGTTATATTTCAGTGAGTCACCATAGATCAAGTTAACTAAAGAATATGAAGCTAGTAACTATGTTTAATTTGTGCTGGTTAACAGGAATAAATTGCTAAAAAAATATTAATAGACAATTTGACCCTCTGTTCTAAAGTGAAGGTTATATCCACATTAATTATTGCACTTGAGCGAAATTTAGATTTATTGACAAGAATACACCAATAATTAAGGCAAAAGTACCACTGATACAGGACTAATAAAGACTATTTGCCAGCCTGTTCTAAAGATAGGTTCTTATTTACACTATTGGTTTGTTTAGCAGTTATTCAGCAACGTGATCTCACGAGAATGTGTATTTTTACGTAAAGTGTGGTTCTACAATATTGACAGCACTAAAACATTTCGCTCTGTTCGTGACTTCCGCTGCAAACTCATTTAGGAGGATTACGATAAACAAGACTACACTTTAAAACGAAAATGTCTAAAAATGAATAACATTTCTGTAATTATTTAACCATTATTTATCATGTAATACTTATTTTGTTCGCCGTAGAACACAAGGTGTTTTCTCAGACCAAAATCGCAACACATATTAAAAAAAGAGATCAATTTGATTTGTTCGCTGTAATCCGCATTAGGGCTGAATGAATAATTGCATTTGATATAATATCGTGATTCGTGATATGATAAAGAAAGATTTTTTTAACTGCAAAGGCTGCGATTACACACTCTGGCCACGTGACACGTGAGAGCTTTGGTAAAGCAGTCTGTAGAGGAAGCATCAATAGGCCTGGCCTACAGGAAAGAACAGTTTATGTTTAATCAATATCATTTGTGTTGGTCATACTATAGGGGTGGGAGAAAACATTCTCTCACCAACGATTCTGAGCTTAGTTTTCAACCACATATTCGCGATGGCGTCGAGTGTGTTTTAGAAACACCCGTATTCTACTTGCTTCCAATTCCTCACACACACAGAACTCGAACCTTCCATAAAATAATCTTTCATAAAGTTCGGAAAGGTTGAAGCGAATTACATTGACATTTACTAGCTTTTATATAAAAAAAATATATATAAAAAAAAAACACAACAACAACAAACAAATAGGGTAAGCATGGCATGTGTGTGACGGCCGGAGGTGGGGAGTGTTCTTGGTGGTGAGTGATGGGGGGTCCTTGGGCCCCAGGCTCCAGTGCACATCGTCTTATCGCCTATAGCCCATTGTAGTGTGTCTTGGCCAAGGGGAGATCAGAGACATCTTTTTTTAAAACATTTTTTTTTATCATATTAGCCTTAATTCTTTTTCATTTATTTATTTATTTTCTTTTCTTTTTTTAATTTTAATTTTTTTTTTAAATTTTTTTTATTACTATTTAGTTCATTTTTATCATGTCTGTTGTATCTGTAAGATTTTCTTCTGTTAAGTTATTTCCACTTACACACCCAGTAATACATGCACACACACACACACACACACACACACGTTTATGTACAGTGGGGGAAATAAGTATTTGACCCCTTGCTGATTTTGCAGGTTTGCCCACTTACAAAGAATGCAACGATCTATAATTTTAATCATATGTACATTCTAACAGTGAAAGACAGAATCCCAAAGAAAATTCCAGAAAATCACATCATATGAATTTATAAAAATTGATAACCATCTGATGAGGAAAAACAAGTATATGACCCCCTACCAAACAGCAAGTATTCTGGCTCCTACAAGCCAGTTAGTCTTTCTTTAAGACACAGCCCCAATCCCAACCAATTATCTACATCAAATACACCTGCCTCACCTCGTTACCTGTATAAAAGACACCTGTCAACACCCAAACAACCATCATCCAACATCACCACCATGGGCAAGACCAAAGAGCTTTCTACGGACATCAGGGACAAGATTGTTGATCTGCATAAGGCTGGGATGGGCTACAAGAGAATCGGAAAGCAACTTGGAGAGAAAAGATCAACTGTCGGTGCAGTTATCAGGAAATGGAAGAAGCACCACACCACCGCCAACCTCTCTCGGTCTGGGCCTCCACACAAGATCTCGCCTCGTGGGGTGTCCCTGATCATGCGAACAGTGAGGAATCATCCCAAAACCACAAGGGGGGAACTGATGAATCAACTGAAGGCAGCTGGGACCACAGTTACAAAAGAAACGGTTGGTAACACACTACGCCGTCATGGATTGAAATCCTGCAGCGCACGCAAGGTCCCCCTGCTCAAGAAGAAACATGTACAGGCCCGCATGAAGTTCGCCATTCACCACCTGGACGACTCAGAAGAGGCCTGGAAGAAGGTTATGTGGTCAGATGAGACCAAAATAGAACTTTTTGGCCTCAACTCGTCATGTTTGGAGGGCAAAGAACACCGAGTACAACCCAAAGAACACCATCCCCACCGTCAAGCATGGTGGTGGCAACATCATGCTTTGGGGGTGCTTTTCAGCCAAGGGGACGGGACAACTCCATCGTATTGAGGGGAGGATGGACGGGGCCATGCATCGTGGAATTCTGGACCAACATCTCCTTCCCTCAGTGAGAGAGCTGAAGATGGGTCGAGGATGGGTGTTTCAGCACGACAACGACCCTAAGCACACCGCCAAAGCAACAAAAGAGTGGCTGAAGAAGAAGCACATCAAGGTTCTGGAGTGGCCTAGCCAGTCTCCAGACCTGAATCCAATTGAAAATCTTTGGAGGGAGCTTAAAATTCGAGTTGCCAGGCGACAACCTCGGAACCTGAAAGATTTGGAGGCTGTCTGCAGGGAGGAGTGGGCCAACATCCCTGCCGAAATGTGCACAAACCTTGTCACCAATTATAAAAAGCGTTTGACATCTGTGCTGGCCAATAAGGGCTTTTCTACAAAATATTAACATGCTGTTTGTCCAGGGGGTCAAATACTTGTTTTTCCTCATCAGATGGTTATCAATTTAAATAAATTCATATGATGTGATTTTCTGGAATTTTCTTTGGGATTCTGTCTTTCACTGTTAGAATGTACATATGATTAAAATTATAGATCGTTGCATTCTTTGTAAGTGGGCAAACCTGCAAAATCAGCAAGGGGTCAAATACTTATTTCCCCCACTGTATGTTATTTTCATGTTTACATGTTAATGTCTATGTATGAGACCTTTATGTTTTTTGTTGTCATAATATAATAAAAATAAAATAAATGATTTTATTCACCAGGAACGGGTTAGACGTCTCTACATGACAGGTGGTTTGAAGGGAGGGGCTGTAAAATAACAGGGGTTAGTAACATCAGCGTAAAGTTGTGTCTGTATAACATGCATTGATGAATTTTGCACAAATTCACTTTTGATTTCATATTAACTGGTGACAAATTATGCTGGGTCGAGACGAATTGCAAAAGGATGTTCAAAGTACTTAGGCTTACAGAAACACATCTGATAATAACCCTTGTATAATTGGCACAGAGGACATGGATGGGGAAGTGGAGCATGTTAAACTCACCTGTAGGACACACTCAGACACCACGTCCTCTGGGACTTCTGGAAACGTTTGCCGCAGGTGGTGCAGAACCTGGTTGTCAATCTGCTGGTTTCCCTGTGCCATTCGTCTACTGCCAAAACAGAACGGACTTGACCTCAGCACGCACGCGTCGCTCACCCACTATCTTAGCATCTTCTGCAATTAAAGCGAGAAGACAGAAATGCATATTTGTGAGACTGACTAGCCAAATGAAAAGCACTGGAAATGTGCGACAGATGTAGTCCAATACACTTTAGGAATAATTATGTAAAAAATGCTACAGATAACAAATTTCTTTTTCCGAGCAATCAAGTCAAGTCAAGTCACCTTTATTTATTTAGCGCTTTTTACAATACAGATTGTATCAAAGCAGCTTCACAGTGATAACATGAAAATAATACAACAAAGTTTGTTTCTAGAAGAAAATTGCATCAACGTCCACATTAAGTAAGGCAGATCAATAATATTGTTGGATTTTAAATGTCCCCAACTAAGCAAGCCAAAAAATCTCTTGGAATGATCAGAATTAGGCATTTATGAGTGCAATGCTGTACAACGATACAACTAATATTACTGTTATGTAAAATGTACCAACATTTATAATGATCAAAATAATCTAAGGACACAGATTACAAATACAATCATTAAAGGAGTAGTGAGACGCAACAACTTTAGTCATCTAAATGTATTGGGATTACAAACCTTACCTAAACAACACAGTTTGTGGAACAAGAAATGCCAATTTAGTACCTGTGAAGCACATGACTAACACTGGCAACCTTCCCAAAAGAGATTTTGCTCAACTGGAGGTTTACAAATCCACAAAACTAGCTTAAACTGCCTGAGAAACAAAATGCAGAAACTTAACTACAGAACTGAAAACTACAGAGAGACCCTCTCTGGACTACAACAAACACAGTTTGTTACAAATCCAGCAAAAGTTTCTGCAATGTTACAAAACTTCAGGAAGAATTTAAGAGAACTAAACAAGAACTAGCCTGAATGAATGCAGGACAATGCATTAAAAATGCCAAACTATATTGCAAGGCTAGAAAATATATGGTCAGTTACATAAAGTTCCTCAAAAATCACAATGTAGGCTAGCTCATGTTTAAAGAAATCCCAAAGATCAGGGTTTAAAACATCAATGATTGGCATAGGATGGGTTCAAAACACATAAGAGCCGGCAAAGAGGTTCTCCAGAACAGACGCATAAATCACCAAAAACAAAGTGCCAATAACTGCTGTTTAAAGGCAAAATCTCACTAGCTGACTTGAAACAAGTAGATTTAGGTCAGGGATGTCACGTAAGCGGCGCTCAAAAGTGTGGCTTTATTTCACCTTAAAAAGCCAGGGTCGGCACAGTGATTTTCTTTCACTTGAATAAATATACATATACGGTTTGCGTGTGTATGTAATTGGTCCAGTGGCAGAATTTTTGCCACGCATGTCACAGGTTCTGGGTTCTACTCCGCACTCATATTGGGGTTTTTTGTCATCAAAACCGAATCTGTTCATCAGTGGTTGTATATCATGTAGGGACACGTTTGTGTGCAATTTGTTTTGTGATTTCACTGGAACGAATTCGAGTCTCCGCAACGGATTGAAGCGCGCGTCCGAGAGAAGACTGTGCGCGAGCCACAGAGAACACTGTATCCGCACCACTGATCGCAGCGGCAACGAGCACTTTGATCACTTGATTTAAAAAACAACACATTTTAACGCTAGATCCCATTTTATTTAACAAAAGAACGAAAATAATGCTCTGCTAGTTAACTGGAGATGATTTATTTATTTCTATTGGTACATCCTTGGACAATATCAACCCAAAAAGTGGTGGGGACATGTCCCACCCGCAAATTACGCCTATGCCTGCATGGTGTACAAATTAAGGAGTGTAGCGTGTTCGACGAGCTGTGCAGGTCCACTGTCTCGTCATCCTCGGGCAACCCTGCGCTAACCAACGTTAGTAACGTTACCTCGTCACAATCAGGTAAGTCATTGTAGTGTAACAAAGCGCTTGACCAAATTGCTAATTGTGGTGAACAACAACAACGTTACTGAAATTATTTTTTCCCTCGTAGATGAATGTAGCGTTATGCTAATTGCCCAAACTAGTAGCAGTCCTAATATTAAGCTACTGTTTATACATGTCCAGAGGGTCCAGACCAGGGTGCAAGTTCTGCAAATCTGTTTTTTGGTCTGGTGCAGAGGCAGTCCTAATTTTCTCCCACATGGGCTGCAGCTCCCAAAACTAATACTCATTATTGAAAATCAAAATAAAATGTTCCTCTGTGAAATGAGCCTGTGACATGTTTTGACTCCACCCCTCAAAGAATCGGAATCGAAAAGAAGAATCGGAATCGTTCAACAACACTTTTCAACAGTTTTACCTCGAACCACTGATTAGCTTATAACGCTATTATATAGGGCATAGAGTAAGTAAAAATAAATCGCTAGTTAATACCACTAACAAGGCTCAAAATAGCCCCACACTAACACGCTAGCATAAAGAGGTTCCCTACATGCAAACCGAAGCATTGAGAACTTTGTAAGTCTACAGTAGGGCTGGGCGATATGGCTGAAAACTGTATCACGATATCAGTGTTTCATATCGGTCGATATCGATAATTGATTTTTTTATGACCCACTTAAAATAAGGACCAGGAGAAAAAATATATTACATTCAAACATTTTTATTTTAAACTTAACCTTCCTCTGATTACAATCCCAAGACAGAAATGTGAACACAACCATGGAAAACTCAAATAATTAAAATGTAAACATAAGTCTAAATTCACAATCAGACCTGCAAACTCCTCAGAGTAAAAAAGGTGACAGTGGCGCGGCGGGACGTGGGTGGTGGGGGTTTGTGATCGTACGTGCCCCCTGCTTGATTGGTTTTGTGATTTTAATATGCAAATGACACATTTCTGAGCGTGACTTAACAAAAATCAGCATACTTATCAAAAATGTTTGAGTGCCAACCCGGAAGTTTGTATCTTACACATGCACTGTATCATAAGTCAGGGCAGAGCACCCGGCTAACGATAAGCCTAGCTAACGTTACAGGGATATTCCACCATTTGGGGAATTAAGCTCATTTTCCACCTCCCCTCGAGTAAAACAATTGTTTGTTTACCGTTTAGGAAACCATTCAGCCGATCTCCAGGTCTGGCGGTACCACTTTTACCATTGCTTAACGTAATTCATAGTATGACGACAATACTAGGGGTGGAACGGTACACAGAAGTCACGGTTCGGTTCAGACATCATGGTTCGGTATGATTTCGGTACAATGGAGTGAAAAGCAAAACAGAAATATAGAAGGCATTTTTATAAATGTCTTAAGCCTTGTATTTTTTAAATAAGTTTTATTAATAAAGGCCAGTTTATTTATAGTGCACTGATAATAGTTTTATATAATTGGTTTATTAATTAAACTAATAAAAAGATAGATATATGTTTGGTAATTGTACCTGAATGAATTTAAAATTAATTTGCTATATTTCAGATCAATATATTTGTTTTCCTTAATTTTAATTAACCCTAACTTTATTCTCATCAGAATTATAAATAATTGATTTCCGTATAAAATAATACTACCAATAGATTTCATTGTCTTTTTTAATCAATGTGTAACTTAAAAATAAACAGATTAGTGCTCTGTTTTGAGGACAATAAATTAAAACCAATGCGATATGGTGAATGTCCAAAAGATGGAACACACAGACTGTTTTAAAAAAGGGTTGGATAAATATGTTTTGCTTTTAAAATGGTGTGTGACAGTTGTAGGTTACAGTTTGACAAGAAATACAGTGTGACAAAAGCACAATGTTGTGTTTTATTGCGAGTATAGGCCTACACAAATATAAGTAAACACTTTGCAGACTGAATGATGTCCTGTATTAACAAAATGACGGAGTATGTTTTTATGTCTCCACCGTTCGATCGCGCCCGCGTGCACTCTCTCTCGCGCCCGTGCCTACTCTCTCTCTCGCGCGCGCACACACACACACACACACTCCAGCATTGCAATCTTGACATCGCAGCCTGTTCATTATGCTGTGTTCACATCAAACGCGAATAGAGCGAATTATCCAATAATGTTTCGCAATTCTAGCCTGCATGGAGATGAAGGGCACTCATTTTCTGCTTATCAATCCCCGGTTACTGAAAAGGAACCCAGCAGCACGAGACAACGATATGGCGCAACCAAACTGACACGTTACATGATTGCCTGTTAGCGTGTCACTCCCTACGTTGCTAGGTTACCAGAGAGCGAGTGCCTTTGTTAATGCAACCAAACTTGCTTCGCAACCTGTGGTTTCTTCCGATGAAGAAAAAAAATATCGAACGTTTTATCGAACACATTTTTTACTGATATCGATCACGTGTCTAAAGACAGTACACTTCGCGTATACAGGCAGGAGCCATCTTGGAAAACAGTCTCGACCAGTCGAAACATGAAAGCCACGCTAAGTGAGCTGGTCGATAGGATTTCACAAATGTAATAGCTTGTTTTTATATGACGTCACGCCACTGCGTTGCCATGGCGCGAAATGCAAATGGAGGGCAGGAAGTGATTTGCTGTATTTAGAAAGCACTATAACAAACTCAAAATGCCTATGTTTTGCGTCGTTTATGGTTACTTAAATCGATCAAACCACGATGAGTTTTTATCGTGTACCAAAAGTTGTTGTTCATAAGGGGGAAAATGCAAGAAATTGACTGAAAAATACCGGAAAAACGGCTTGCAAACCTACGTCTGCGGTCGGGAGGAGCCGAATGGGAAAATGCCCGTGTGTGCAGTGATCACTTCGTCAAAGGTGAGTTAATACAACTTAAGTGGCTGTGTTTGTGTAACGTTTCCAAACTTTGTAAAGTCAAAGTATCTGTAAGACGAGGTAGTTGCTGATATCTACCGCCTCGATGTCAGGAAAATCTTTCAATTCAGTTGAAAATCGCTCCTCTTCATAACGTAAGGATCACGTCCAACATTTGTTTGATTTTTTGTTTATATCTTTCTCTTGTAATAGCGTGTAAAGTAGTACAGTACTGACTTTCCTCCATCTCGTCCATTGCGCTCTTCACTCCTTGCCCTCCATCTGAATTTCGCGCGTCATCATAATCACGTGACTGAAACCCAGCTATTC